GTTCTAAATTTTGTATAGCAAGAAATTGTAAAAAATCCTTTATAATAATAAAAATTATTTTTCGTTAATCTATACTATTACTAGCTATTATTGGATTAGACAATTTATTAGATAAAATAATCCTATAACTTCTATCTTTAAACAAGTCTATTAAAAGTTTTTTAATAGTGAAAAAATTTCTAATTCAGTCTATAACTTTTTCTAATATGACAAGACTTATTATATTATAAGCTTTTACTATATTTTAAAAAAGAATCTATAATATTTTTTTTTTCTAGTCTCTTTATATATACTATTTAAAAGATGGATGGGTTTAGCAATACTTTCTCCTTGTAAATTAGTAAAGTTTGGACTTTTCAAAATTTTATATTGTTTGTATATAGCTACTAATTAATTGGTTAAGATCTTTGTAAAGTATTTTTTTATTATTTCAAGAAGAACTTTAGATTTTATATTGTTAAGTTTGCATTTTCAGGATTTTGGTTTGAAAATGGAATAGATATTATTTTTTTTTATCTCTTGAATATCTGATTAGTGACTAATATCTTATTGAATAGAAAATATATACTGTAATTCTTTTTCTTTTAAGATTAAAGTATTTGATTATCTTATAACCAATATTTAAGAGACTTACTACCTTATTATTTAAAAGAAATTTTAGAATAACTTTAAGTTTTTTTATCTTGATTTCCTTTGTTAATGAAAAATATTATAATAGATCAATTCATTCTTTAAGTTGATATTCTTTTTTTAAAAAAAGATTCAATCTTTCAAAGTTGGCTTGTCTTTATTTAAAAGTAATATTAAAAATTACTATAATAAATAATAAATATATTAGTTAAATATATCTTGAATTTATTATATATTAAATAGAAAAATTGAATTATAAATATATTTTTAACTAAAATTATATAATAAAATTAAGTATTTAGATAATTTTATAAAACAATTTATTAGAATTATAAATAAAATAACTATAATATATATATTTTAATAAAAAATAAATAATTTTTTTTTTTTTTAAGCTAATTTAACCAAGTTTATTAATGAAGTTTTACTATATAGATACATCTAACCAGAAGAAAACAATGATAAGTTAGTAAACTAATGATAAGTTAAAAAACTACCTTATGGCTAAGTCATCTCTAGACAAAGATCTAATGAGAAGACTATTAGAGCAATATAAAATTTTTATGAAGAAATAATATGTGTATCGAGTCTAATTTATTTAACTTAACCCAAAACTAGGGAATATATATTCATATATTAATATTGTTGAGCAATTGTTTACTACTAGGAGAAATAATTGAAAACAATAGCTATATAAAGATTAATAGGGGAGAGGGTCTGCTCACATCTTGAAAGGACTTGGCAAGAAAGAAAAAATAGTAATCCATTATAAAGTTGATATTTGAGACTATACTACTACTATCACTTTTGTACCATTGACTGGATACTTTTTGAGAACTTTATCAGTCAAGAGTGCAATGTCTGTTTCTCAGTTACTTTCAATACTTTCATATTGTAATTCTTGTGTTTTCTAATTTTGATCCTATATCTTGCCTTACCCTATTTATATTGGAACTTTTTTTGATGTTCTTCCAAGTAATTAGATAAGTCAAAAAGGTTTTTGTGAGTATCAAGAACTGGAGTTGAAGAGAGTTAGGAAGAAAGAAACTGTGGGGAGGGGTACGAGTAATAGAACCTTTGTCATTCAGTGAATCTATCCTTACTTACCCATTGCAATAACCTATCTAGAAAAGGAATTTTGGTCTTTCTAATATATATTTTCACTGGCCTTAATAAATATTGCTCTTGAAGTACTATTATTTGGAGAAGATAATCCACTTCAATAGTGGCACCTTTTGCTGGTGATTTCATTTTTAATTGATACAAATGATCCTAGAGAATCTTTCAGACTCTTGATGTTTCAGACTTATATAAGTAGGTGGTACATTTTCAAGACTTTGCCTTCATTTTATATCTTCTTGAGCATTTTGTTCTTCTTATTTTTCCAAGTGGTGATAGATATTTTTCTTGAAGATTATTCTCTTTATTGATATTTATTGACGTATTAGAAAATAGTGTCTTGTTAGAACATATGTATATGGCCAATAGCAGCTTGTTTACATTTCTGAAACTGATGTGTTTCTTGTTGATCAATCAGATTTGATGAGAATATGTACTACCTAAAATTCAGGATCAAATTGAGGTAGACAAAATTCCCCAGAAAACTATGAAAGTGGTAGCTCTAAGAGGGAACAGCAGTAAAAGAGTGAGAAAAATAAGTCTCTTTTACTGTACAATATCTCTTGTAGCCTCAACAAAGCTGAATAGGGCTTTCAAATACTTCACTATTGGTTTTTCTTCTTTTAGAAGCTTTTTTGCCTTTAGAAGTAAAGGTGTTACTTGATTTTTAGGTCACTGGAAGCCAAGCTTGTGATCAAAGAGAATTGTAAACAAGAAATAGAGGGTATAGGTGACTCCTGAAGATAAACTTCAAGTTATTTTAAGGAAAGTGTAAAGATTTTATTAGCATAGAAGTAAGAAACTTCTTGCGAATATCTTTTTTGTGTGTGGTCAGAGGATTAGCAAAAAGAGTTTTGATAAAAAATAAATAAATAATAATAATAATAAAATAATAATATATAATTCAAAACTAGTAATAATATTTTTAAAACTTTGTATAAAAAGGACTTAAAATAAAAAATATATAATATACTTTATTTAGAAATTTATAAAAAATTTTTTTATTCAAAATAATAAATAATGAATTGTTTATACTAGTTAAACCTAAAATTAAATAATTAAATTTATATAAAGATGTCAAATATATAATTTATAAAAGTTGAAAAAAAAATAATGAAGTATTTATAAAATTATTTTTTATTTTATAAAATATAAAAACTTATAAAAAAAAAATCAATAAGCTTATTCAAGAATATAAAATGTTAAAGAAGAAATAAATAAAAGAAATAAATAAAATTTTTTCAACAAAATAAATTGTAATAAAAAAAGTAAATTTTAAGATATAGATAATAAATTTAATAAAGCAAATTTTAAAAACATATCAAGATTTCTTTAACTTTTATATAAACTCTTAAACTAAAAGTTAATCATAAAAGATATGAATTTTGAATATCAAAGAAAGAAAATTGAATTTAAAATTGATAAATGAATTAATAAAATTTAAAAATTTTTTTAAAAATTTTTTTTAAAAAAAAGATAAAATCAGAAAAGTTTTAGTTAATCAAATTAATATAATAATAATTTTAAACTTTTAATAATAGTTACAAGTCAAATAAAAATTGATATTATTAATTGATTGAATTTTAATCTTAGTTAAAATATTTATAAAAAATTTACAATAGTAATTTGTAGACATTAAATTTTACAATTAAAAAGATATTTATTTGAATAGTAAACAAATTGACAAATTATATCTGAAGTTTAATAAATAGAGATGAATAAGTTGATTATATATAATATTTAGCTTTAATATTATATAAACAATAATAATATATACAATTCACTTTGATTTAATAAAGTATGTACAACTAACCTGACATAAAATTAAAGTTTTTAGAACATTTTAAAAATTTCAAGAATAAGATATACATTGTTTAATATTATCTATGAATTTGTTCATAAGAACAAGGCAAGAAAACTTGAAAATTATCTCAAGAAGTTTAAGATTAATCATTAACAAAACATTAGAAAATAAGGAAATTCTTTTAAAGAAAAAGTTAGAAAAAAATTGTTACAAAATTATGATTAGTTAAAAAAGAAAAGAAGATTAAGATTACAAACCGAAATAAATAAAAAAAAAAGTCATACTTAAGCAAGAAAGAATAAAAATAAGAGATCGGCGATATAAGAAGATTATAAAACAAGTAAAAAAGTAAAAAGACATATTACAAAATTTATTAATAGTTGGGTAACCAAAGAATTCAAATCATTAGTTAAAACTATAGAAAATCTATAGTAATGAATGATTCTGTTAGCTAGGGAAACTGTAAATCCTGATTTGTGAAGGTCAATAATAGTTCAATACAAAAATGTTTACTATAAAGACAAATTATTTCAACCTGACTGTGGATTAAAAAAAAAAATATTTAAAAAAACATACATCAGCATCTAAAAGAATAAGACTTTTGATATTGCCAAACATTTGTTTATATGACATGGCTGTTAAATTGGTAACCTTTAAATATTCACCGAGGAACCGGTTGCGTCGTCGTTAAAATAACATGGCACAACTTAATGATACAATTTAACGATGTCGAAAATTTCATTTAAATGCTTCGGGAGCGTCTCCTTAAAATCAAATAGACATACTTTATCGGCACAGTGCCCTTGGAGCTTGTCTATGTTGTTGCATGGAAGAATGTTGCTGATATAAACCGTACCCTAAAGAATTCTTCTATTTTGCCGGTATTCAAAACACACGAGCCCTAAGAAATGGATGTTTTTTATCGTTGTTATCATAGACTTATTCTGCGAAAAAAAAAATTTTTTTTTTTTTTTTTTTTTAATATTCTCAAAGATTTATTCAAAGTACATGCACGATGAAGATATTTTTCGAACCCTATTTATTTATCTTTTGAATTTAAATCCCCCTAAATGTTGATTTGCCGTTGATGTGGAACAAACATCAAAATCGTTTTAGTTATCAATGTAATCAATCCCCATCATCCTCCTATGATAATTTCCTTTATGAGAGATCGGGAAATAATAGTCATTGGGCAAACGCCAAGAAGAACAGGCTGAACTTTACCAAATTTATTTGGGCTTGGTCATTAAAAATTCCGCTCTATATACTAGGAATTTTCATACTTCCAAATATAAACTAGTAAGCCTCTGATATCATGAGTGTTTCTAAAATTATATTTGCAGATCATGTCTTTTTTAAAACAAACGCTCTATTTACAATTATTTCAAATTATACATTCATTCAACGAAAGGAAGTTCTATTTACTGTATATAATTATTGATTCATTTCAATCCCATTTTCGACTCTTCACCTCGGGTCCGCACATCTTCAAAAACTTTTCAAATGTATTCACGTATAACAAGGTCAACACTTCCTCCCGAGCACTTTCATACATTGACAGGTCGTATTGTTCTTTCTCGATCTTTTCCTTTGCCTCACTCAATAAACTTCCCGAGAAATTTATCGAGAGGTCGGAATCAGGATTCAAGAATGTATCATAAAACATAGCATAGTCGGATTTTAATTCGTACGGAAATGGTATCCACGATGCTGCTGTGACAGTTTCGATTATGGATTTCGTGCACGGTGTGTTTGATATGAAAGTTGGAGACAACGGTGTTGGAGAGGGAAACCCAGGCGTCTCCGGAAATGAAATGTGTCCGGTTTCAGCAATAACAAGATTTGGTGTTGGTGGTGGCAATAATTCTCGGTTTGATGGAGTACAACATCGAATCACTAGCATTTTTAGATATTGAAATTCTCTCAGGAAGAGAATTAATTCCGTACAGAAACAAGCCGCCGTGCATACTGTAAAATAGTGTTAACGTATTTGCAAAGGAATTTCATTCGCAGCAAATAATTTTATGACTTACCTTTATAAAGTTCGAATAACTTGGCGTCCGCAAGGACCTTTTCAAATAACTCGTATTTCTTTGACTTCAATGAGCTCTGGTTATTCGACTTGGTCCCATCATTTGACGTTGATTCGAGGACTTCCATCAGGGCATGTGTTTTAAATGACCTCCACACGGGTAAGGTTATGGACCAAGTATGACATACTATAAAGGTGATCCATGCGAACATGAAACTTCCAAAATAATCGCTCCATCTCGGAACCAAAAATTCCCATATGAAAAACATGCCGAAGGAAACTGATCCGCTAACCATTGTTATCAGGAGTTCGTTTTTTAGACCAAATGCATCGTGAACTCCGTATAGGAGGTAATAGAGAATAGGACAAATTACGACCAGAAATATTACGACGAGTATGAATATAGGGATGTGCCTGGGTGATTTTCATGTAGGTTAACATGCAATTTAAAAAAGAATTTTTTTTTGAAATTCACGCCAGACCTCGTGAATTAATCCTACGACAATGCGACACGTACTCAACTCCGATTGGACACCTTGTTTGAACTGGATGGATAGAGAGGTTGGGAGACAGGATTTGCGTAACGAGGGCGAGGACAAAAGCAAATCCGAGAACTGGGCATAAGACCCACACGGACAACCATTCGTCTGTGGCGTAATGTTTGAATTTCTTTAATCTAAGCATTAACCGCAAACCAAGAAAATCAAGATCCCTTTCCCCAACGGGTGTTCTTGGAGTTTGCGGTGCAATAATTGAATGAAGGTTTGAATTACATGCCATGCTCATTCTTAATTTAGCAATATTGTATCTCGCCACCCAGGCGAACGAAAATACCCTACAGGCTAAAGCTGTGAAATACAAAAAGTAACCTATGTAAGATGTCCAGTGTATGATGAAGCAAGGGAATCCGTAAGGATAGAATCCAGAGCGAAAACAAAACATCACGCACAGCATGATTGTGGCTAGAGAATTCAGCAAGTTCAATCGTAACGGACGATATCGAATGTCCGAAATTTTATGCCTTCTTAAGTAAAATAGAGTTATGGTCGTTGTGAGGTAAAAGAATGTTAAGATTCCGAGCGTCGAGTAAATTCCTTTCCTCCATGATAATAGGCCGCCTGCGGTCTCCTCTTGAAGATTGTTCCGGCCCATGAGTGAAGCTACAGCGTCATTTTGCGGAATTTCTACTGCAGGCATGTCCTGAAAAGCGGGGAAAATTATTTGGTCTCAAATAATTTTGACTATTATTTATTGAAGTGGATTGTTTTTTTTAGTTTAGACCACCTTCTTCCTTCCAACATTCAATTTACTCAAGACAATGGAAAGAATTAGGCAGTGAAGAGGTCAGAGAATTTTCCCAAGCCAGGACTTGTGAATTGTACTGTATGAAAAAGACGATCCGCTTTTAATACCGCGCATTTTATGCACATTTAAAAAGGTTCGGTTCTATTGACGAATGATAGAATTAAATTAAAAATAAATTAATTTTCTCTTCTGTGTTACGATACCTTGAAAAAAGAAATCGAGTCCCTCTAATCCCATATTAGTAGAAACGTCGGAGTATGTAAAATCGTTTCGCACAAGATAATGCCTCTAGTGACACCACGCGAAAATATAAAAGGATTTTCGTTCTATTATTCATGTTACATTCTACGAAACGGGAATTTTTAGTAACATTAAAGATTGGAACGACAAATCAGGAAACGTTCGATCGTCGACATTGCATTAATTTGGTATTTCGAGAACAATAAAATTAAAAAAGAGCTACCGAGAATGGGTTGCGACATAATTATGCTGATTTCAAAACTTTTAACAGACACCCCTGCTTAGCAAAAGTTCTTATTGTCTGTTTCGGGCTAAACCGTCACATCGATATTATACACTTGGTTTTTCTTGAACCTTTTATTATTATATAATGCAAAGTATCGAAATTTGTTTGACAGTAATGAAATAATACACAGCATGTAATTGGTTTTTGTTCGAATCACTTACAAAGTAACGAATCATTCCCAAATTTGCATTTATAGACTTGGGCAAAGATGAGGGGTTGGTTTGTAAATTAGTTTTGATATCACATAATTTTGATAAATGATAAATAAATAAAATAAATAAAATAAAAAAATAAATAATAATAATAATAATAATAATAATAATAAATTGAAAAAAATTTTTTTTGTCTTATTTGGCCTGTCTTTATTGAGAACTTAAAACAATATCTACAATAATTTACAAATTTTTATAACATGACTAACTCATCTTTATATATAATACTTTAAATCAAATTTTGAGAACAATATTATATTCCCCTAATAGATTAATTATAATTTCTATTTATCGGAATCATTGCCAACATTTTGTCACAAGCCATTTCAATATGATTGTGAGTTAAAAAAAATAAAAATAAAAATAACAAATTATATATAAAACTATATTTAAAAAGTTAAATTTATATACAGTATATTAGTTTATAAAATTTATATAATATAAAATTTTTTAATTAAAAAAAAAAAAATTCTTTTCACTGATCCTTTACACATATATAAAAAAAATGTTCACAAGAAAATTTTTATTTCTTTGTTAATAAAGTCTTAATACTATTCCTAAATCAACTTGAAGTTTTACTTCAAGAGATATTTCTAAATTATTTTCTTGTTTATATTTGTCTTCAAACAAAAACTTAATTTCTTGTGACCTATAAAAGTCAAGAAACACCTTTTCTATCTATAGCAAGAAAGTTCTATAAGGAATAAGAACTAGTAGTATAGTACTTGAAGCCTTTCATATTGAAGCATATCTATAGAGATTATTTATAATAGGAGGTAATAAACATCAAGCCATATTTCAAAGTGTCTGTCTACTGTTTCTTTTCTATTATAGTCATCCCAAAATTTTTTTTAATTTTCTGAAGAATTTTGTTTATCTCTGTTTGACTCTGAATTTTAAGTGACACAATCTATTGCAAAATATAATTGGTGGACACAAAACACATTAGTAGCTAAATATAAACAAGTTCTTACTGATCACTTAACATATTTTGATAATGTCATTGGTGATTGAAAAAGTTGATTGGTATCCTATATTCATCCCATTTCTTTAATTGAATTAACCTACAGATTAACACTAGTTGAAAAATATTTATTCGACATAATACCACTCATGTAACATTCATCAAAAAAATAAATAATTCAGCATATTAATAACATAAATAAATCATTAATCAATTTTTACCATATAATTTGATATATAATTCAGCATAAATAAATCGTCAATCAATTTCTACTATACAATTCAGCATAAATAAATCATCAATCAATTTCTACTATATAATTTGACACTATCTGACATATTAACTATTTTTATTATATATTTCATTAAAATTTTTCTCAAAAAATCATTAGATATTCATCAAAATTCACACTTTGCCGAATTTTGATTATATATTATATTTACAATTTAAAGGAATTACAGTTAAATATTTACAAAAGTCTTGCCGATTTGAGGTTCTATATACTGTATAAATGGAATAAATCAGCCAAAAATATTATAAATAGGAATTATGCATTCAAATCTAACTAGATAAAATTCAGTCTCCACAATTCAACATTTGTGTCATTTTCAAATCTGAAATAAAATCTATTTTCTGCCGAATTAACCAGTTTGTACTACTAATAAAGGCCAATCGATATTTAATAACATTATTCAGAAAGTTTACCGAATGTATAAAAAAGAATTGAACTTGTCCCAGATATAAATCTACACTTCCATCATAATTCATGAATCTAGCTAATATAAATGAGCCCTTAATATTTTATGCACATAACAGAATCAAATATTTTACTCCCAATTCATTGTCTATTATATTGATCTGCTCTATTTTGAATAATTATCAAATTTTCATTATCTTTCGTAAATGGTCTCCAAAAGTCCATAGTTTCATAAGATGCCTTATAGTATTCAATTAATAGATCTAATATTTCAGCAGATATCTCTAAATTTGATTATTTTCAGATACAAGAGTTCATCTGAAAAATGTTCAGATTCATTGATATTATTTTGTGAATATTATATATGTTGTTTAAAAATTGATATAACTCGTTAGCCAAAAACTGATCTAGTTCAGAAATTGAACTAATATTTGATCAATTATTTAAAATTTCAAGCCTCTGGTTATTAGAATAGAACATGGTTAGATTAATAATTTGACGATCATTCATCAATCTTTGCATTAATTTGGGTTCAATATTTTGATGATTATTAGGTAATGAATCTAGATTAAAAATTTGTTAAAATTCTACTTTCGAATGTTAAATTTGTTTAAAAAACCTACCTAATATACCATTCAATCTCTCAAATGAAAAGCACCAAAATGCATACAATGATCCATAATAACATGCACATTCATATAAATGTAATGAAGGATGAAGATTTAGAATAATTTTTTTTTCCATATTTTCATTCTATTAGTTTAATCATGGTAACTAATCTTTTATGAGCCTTATTTAACAAATTTCATCTTAAAATTCAGCATACTAAGATTTGACAAATCTTAACAAAATTTGTTAGAATTTGACGATCCATATCTGGAAAATGCTTTCATAGAATGATAGTTGCATATATTATGAAAAAATTTCTCTACTGATTGATAGTAAAGTTCCAAAAATTCTTCGCCACTATTTATTTTTCTTGAAATTCAACCAATATCTGATGGCACTTAAAAAATTTCTATAATTGATTGTATTTCATTCAATGCATTATTCGTCAGTATCCCTTTTTCAATCCTTATTTATTTAATGAGCCATTTACTAATATCTAAGAAAAGACAGTGCATAGAATCGATAATTAAATACCAAATTGGATTAAAATAAGATAGGTAAAGGAATTCAGACCATCTGGCATGATTCCCACTGACAAAACATTTTTATGCTACATTTGAGCTACAGCACCTCCATTTGATAGAATCTTATTTATGTGTTACCAAATCTTTCAGTATAAACCATTCATTTATATCTTCCATACCACCAAAATTATAATAATTATTTTCATAATTGACATTCTTCTTGCAATGTTGACATGACACTAGTACTGAAATGTATCCATACACTTTTCATGCAACAGGAATATTGCATGAAATTAAAATTAAGATCACCTGAATTATTTTTTCTTCTTCATTTTTAGCAGATTTACTTCTTGCCATAGTTGCATCAATTTGTTGACAATTGGAGAAAGGTAATGGTTTATTTGATGTAAACTTGGTTCACTAGGACCTAGTAATATACCAATAATCAACATTTTTCATATTTAAATCATACTTCACATGACAATTTTGTGATAGTCATATATATAACTCCAATACTATGTACTTTATTATTGAATGGTTGAAACCAGATGATATTTAGCACCAATTCCAAATGTGAATCAGCTGTCTCTTTGCCAAAAAATAATTTTGAGTTTTCATCTTTAAAAGTTTTTCAAATATTACCATTATAGATATCACATAGAAGTGCATCAATGCTTGATTGATCTATTCAATGCCAAAGATTAGATTCAAAATTCAGATTTTGATACATTTGTGACAATTGATACCAAATAATAGAATATGAAAAAATTAAATTGGTCCAATTAATTACATTTTTGTTTAATAATCCTGATTGTGTAGATAGTAGAAAATTACAAGTTTTTCTTTGTTTTATTGTTGAATTGAGAAATTCAATATGAATACACTTTATGATCAATAGCCTATTGTTTTTTTGAAAACCAAGAACATTATCTTGTCTATACAATTTGTGGCATCTTTGACATGCCACAAAACTAACAAACTGATCTGATAATCCAAGTTTATTGTTGATAGTATACAAAAATCCACAAAAGAGCTCAAATTCTTTGTCACCAATTTCAATTAGCACCAATTTCATAAATTTTAGCAGTGCATCTATTGCATTATTTAATAAATTAAATCGAATTCTATAGTTCATAATCCATAACAAAATCCATATAAAACGACTATCCAAAAATTCGCTAGAATTCAGTAAAAATTTGTATTTTGGTGCTGAATAATCTTCAAATATATTATTTATTTCATCATCATCATCAACTTCAGATTCATTATTTTCAGAACTTGCATTATTCAATCTCAAATTTTGTTGATTGTTGTTTAACAACATAATTTAACTTGATAAAATATTTTTCATTCTATGCTG